TTCTCTTTGAAGCTGTTCCTTATAGAATTCTCTCTCTCTTTCTTGTAGGTGCCCTCTGAGTAATTGAACCTCTTTGCTTAATCCTAAATTCTCCCAATCACTCAGTATCCTTCTTCTTAGTTGATCTTGATACTGGTCCAGAGGTATTACACTAGTAGACCAATCATTATCACTAGTATATCCTATACAGTAACAAAAATAGTGGACAATAAGAAATACACAAATTAATTACACTTAGTTACTATGGTAACCTTATTATTGATGGACTCATGTTTAATCATTGTATGCAAGGGCGTAAGGAGAAAAAAAGGAAGGGGTAGGCTACGAGTAGAAAAGGGCGCGCGAAGCGCGCCGCCGATTTGGCCACGCCCACTTTTACGGCCACGAAATGGGCACATTCTCGCAATATGAAGTTTCCTTTACTCTAATATCTATGGTTCTCGCAACTGCTTCACACTCAGACTCAGATGAGGACTCAGGCAAGACTCAAGGTAGCAGCACAATCAACAAAATCATCATTCACAAGATTATCATCTTCAATCTCCTCATGCTCATCTTCAGTACAAATAGTCTATATGGGGGTTGACTACTAATATACTCAACTAAATTTTGCATAAAAAATGACAAAGCTTTTGTTTCTTTGCAGCTGACATTGTGTTGGCTTCACTTAAAGTTAACTTTTTATAATTTTATTAAGCTAGCTAATTAATTAAGTTAATTATGTAAAGACTCCACCTTAATAAATTATAATAATTGTGCTAAAATGGCTGTTTTTCTTTTCTTTCTCCTGTCTCTGTTTGCCTGTGTCAAAAGTGACTGAGTGAGTAACTGCCAGTTGAGACAGCTACCCTAAACTTCTATAATCTTTGATCATAAGTGACTAAGGCAGAAACTCAATATAGGTAAACTACTAAACTTCAATTTTGACTTCTGAACTTCTGGGTAGGCTATAGCCTACCATAGCCTTATGCTAGCTACGCCCTTGGTAACAATGCTACACTAACAATACAAGGTATAGTAATGTATCAGTTTAATTGTGTCATTAGTCTCTTTTTTAGGTCTATTGGATAGTGTTGCTAATCTGGATTATACCTTTATTAATGGATCCAGTGTATTATTAACATGGACAGCTCCTTATACACTGGATAATGTACCTATCACTGGATACTATATAGTCAATGGATTAGTGAATGTTACTACTACTAACAAGAGTATTATATTATCAGCTACTAATCCTGATCCTTGTATATTAAATAATGTATCAGTTTCTCCTATTAATGATGTTGGAATAGGTTTATCTAATAATATCAGTTTTTATTATGAAACAGGTTAGTCATACTACGGCTTCATGTATATGTTCACAGTGTATCTTTCAGTTCCTCTCATTACTCCTCCTGTATCAGTGGTACCAGTAATTGATGGTCAACTAATATCATTGAATATCAGTATTAATGTAAGTACATTCACCATAAGCTCATCACACAATGAGTAAACTAACAGGAAATGCATGCATAGCAAATTATTGTTTGTGTAATTTT